TATTTCTGCCTTCATTTCATTGTTTACCCAGTCAACATTCAAGAGCCAGTTGTTCAGTTTCCATGAAGTTGTGTGGTTCTGAGTTAGTTTCATAATCCTGAGTTCGAATTTGATGGCACTGTGGTCTGAGAGACTGTTATGATTTCCATTCTTTTGCTTTTGCTGAGGAGTTATTTACTTCCAATTATCTGGTCAACTTTAGGGTAGGTGTGATGTGGTACAGAGAATAATGTATTATCTGTGAATTTAGGGTGTAGAGTTCTGTAAATGTCTATTAGGTTTGTTTGGTCCAGATCTGAGTTCAAGTCCTGGATATCCTTGTTAATTTTCTGTGTTGTTGATCTGTCTAATATGGACAGCAGAGTGTTAAAGCCTCCCATTATTATTGTGTGGGAGTCTAAGTCTCTTTGTAGGTCATTAAGAACTTCCTTTATGTATCTGAGTGCTCCTGTAATGGGTGGGTTTACATTTAGGATCATTAGCTCTTCTTGTTGCATTGATCCTTTTACCATTATGTAATGCCCTTCTTTGTCTCTTTTAATCTTTGTTGGGTTAAAGTCTATTTTATCAGAGACCAGGACTGCAACACCTGCTTTTTTTTTTTTTTTTTTTTCTTTTTTTGCTCTCCACTTGCTTGGTAAAGCTTCCTCCAAACTTTTATTTTGAGCCTATGTATATCCTTGCAGGTCAGATGGGTTTCCTGGATACAACACACTGATGGGTTTTGACTTTTTATCCAGTTAGCCAGACCGTGTCTTTTGCTTAGAGCATTTAGCCCATTTACATTTAAGGTTAATATTGTTATGTGTGAATTTGATCCTGCCATTTTGATGCTAGCTGGTTGTTTTGCCTGTTAGTTGATGCAGTTTCTTCTTTGTGTCGATGGTCTTTACCATTTGGTACATTTTTGGAGTGGCTGGTACTGGTTGTTCCTTTCTATGTTTAGTGCTTCTTTCAGGAGCTGTTGTAAGGCAGGCCTGATAATGATGAAATTGCTGAGCAATTGCATGCTCGTAAAGGATTTTCTTTTGCCTTTGCTTATTTAGCTTAGTTTGGCTGGATATGAAATTCTAGGTTGAAAGTTCTTTTCTTGAAGGATGCTGAATATTGGCCCCCACTCTCTTCTGGCTTGTATGGTTTCTGCCTAGAGATCTGCCATGAGTCTGATGGCCTTTCCTTTGTGGGTAACCTGACCTTTCTCTCTGGCTGCCCTTATCATTTTTTCCTTCATTTCAACCCTGCTGAATCTGATGATTATGTGCCTTGGGGTTGCTCTTCTTGAGGAATATCTGTGTGGTGTTCTCTGTATTTCCTGGACTTGAATATTGGCCTGCCTTGCTAGGTTGGGGAAGTTTTCCTGGATAATATCCTCAAGAGTGTTTTCCAGCTTGGCTTCATTCAGCTACACCTATTAAATGTAAATTAGGTCTTTTTATATAATCCCATATTTCTTGGAGGCTTTGTTCATTTCTTGTTACCCTTTTTTCTCTAATCTTGCCTTCTCATTTTATTTCACTGAGTTGGTCTTCAATCTCTGATATCCTTTCTTCTACTTGGTTCATTCGGCTATTGAAAATTGTGTATTCTTTGCAAAGTCCTTGTGTTGTGTTTTTCAGCTCCATCAATTCATTTATATTCTTCTCTAAGCTGTCTATTCTCGTTAGCATTTCATGAAACCTTTTTTCAAGGTTCTTAGTTTCTTTACTTTGGGTTAGCACATGTTCTTTTAGCTCAGAGAAATTTATTATTTCCCACTTTCTGAAGCCTGAAAGTGTCAATTCATCAGACTCATTCTGTCAATTCATCAGACAATTTCTGTCAATTCATCAGACTCATTCTCCATCCAGCCTTGTTCCCTTGCTGATGAGGAGTTGTGATCCCTTGGAGGAGGAGAGGCATTCTGGTTTTGGGTGTTTTCATCCGTTTTGTGCTGGTTTCTTCCCATCTTTGTGGATTTATCTACCTGTGGTCTTTGCAGTTGGTCACTTTCAGATGGGGTCTCTGAGTGCACGTCCTTTTTGTTGATGATGCAGTTATTTCTTTCTGTTTTTTATTTTTCCTTCTAACAGTCAGGTCCCCTTGCTGTAGGACTGCTGGAGGTCCACTCCAGACCCTGCTTGCATGGGGTTCACCTGTGGTGGCTGCAGAACAGTAAGGTTTGCTGCCAGTTTCTTCTTCTGTTATCTTTGTCCCAGAAGGATACCCACTAGATGTCAGCCTAAGCTCTCCTTTATGAAATGTCTCTTTGGATATACGGGGGTCGAAGGAGTTGCTTGAGAAGACAGTCTGTCCCTTATAGGAGCTCAAGTGCTGAGCTGTGAGCTCTGTTGTGCCATTCAGAGCTGCTGGGCAGGTATGTTTAAGTCTGCTGCAGCAGAACTCATTGCCGCCTTTTTTTCCCAGGTGCTCTGGCCTGGGAAGGTCAGAGGCTTTATTTATAAGTTCCTGATATGCTGCTGCCTTTTTTTCAGAGATGCCCCGCCCAGCAAGGAGGTAGCCTAGTCACAGTCTGACAGCAGAGGGGTTGCTGAGCTGCCATGGGCTCTGCCCAGCTGCTTTGTGAACCACATTGCGGTTTTGTTTATAGGGGTATAGTTATAACTGGCTCGGTGATGGCAGTCTGCCTCAGGAATGGCAGACTGCCTCGGTAGTGGTAGACTGCCTTGGTAATGGCAGACGCCCTTCCCCCCACAGAGCTGGACCATCCTGGGTCCAGCTGTGCTTGCTGTGAAGCTCTCAATCCAGAGCGTTTCAGATTGCTGGTCTTTGTTGGGGTGGGACCTGCCAAGGCAGATCACCTGGCTCCCCGTTTCCACCCTCTTTTTTTCAGTTGAATGGGCAACTCTGTTTCCCAGGCATTCCAGGTGCCTGTTGAAATGGTCACCCTGATTTGTGTGAGATTTTGTGTGGAGACCCGTTTTGCCAGCTGCAACGGCCATGCTGCAGACCCCTGGTGCTTTTCCGCCCTGAATCCCCTGGTCTTTGGGTAGTAAATACTTGTTTGAAAATGCGGTGATCACTCACCCTCTGTGTTCTCGCTGGGAACTGCACTCCAGAGCTTTTCCTTTTGGTCCACTTGGATCGTCTCTGAAGACAATGGTTTTCTAAGTGGATGGTGATCGTTTGTTTTGCTGAACATTTTGATGGATTTGGATATATATTTGTTGTAAGGGAAAGATTTCATTTCTTTTTTTCCTAAAGGGAACATAATTGGGAGAACTGCAGGCACCTTCAGAAGGAAGAATGAGAGAAGGGAGAACAAAGAATGAAAAGATGAGATGTGAGACAGGTGTGTGATATATTAACACCTCTTTGTGCCCACAGATCTCCAATAAAGTTGTTTTTTGGGGTGGTGGTGGTGAAAATGGGATAGTAGAGCATGCGCGAGTCCAGGAACCAGAATATAGCACATAGAGCAGAAATGTAATTAAAGAATTTTTGAATTGCCTGTCTAGGAATTAATAGAGAGTGTCTTAGTCCATTTGTGCTGCTATAACAAAATACCCAAGACTGGATAATTATAAAAAACAGATGTTTTATTTTCTCACAGTTATGAAGGCTTGGAAGTCCAAGATCAATGTGCCAGCAGGTTTGGTTATCTGGTAGGGGTTGTATCCATAGGAGAGGAGGAACACTGAGTCCTCACAGGGCAGAAGGAGGAAGGACAAGCTAGAAGAACTCCCTTCATGAAACCCTTTCATAAAGACACCTAATCCCATTCACAAGAGAAAGAGATCTCATAACCTAATCACTTCTTAAAGGCCCCATTTCCTAATACTGTCACTTTGGCAAATACCTAAAGCACTGAAGAAACCAAATATGTGTTGTGTTTCAAGGGCCAGTAGGGAGGCTAGATAACATCTGAATTTCACATTTAGAGGTGCTTACTGATAGGAATAACAAAAGAAATACACTCAAATGTGTTTGGCTTGAGATAGATGTCACTCCCATACTTCATATATTGAATCATAGCACTTTTCTACTTATCGTGAAAACCAACCAGTTGTTAAAAATTCCTTTTATGTAGATGCAGTTGTATCTATAAAGCCGTTGAACTCATAATTATCTTTTTTTGCCTCAACTTTCTCTAGAGCAATTCTTTCAGGACTAACTTCTTTTGAAGAGTTTGTTTTGACTTAGGTGAATTAGCTAGCAGATGGGGTGAAAAGGCATTGCGGAAAGCAGAGGGAACATAAGCTTTGGCACCACAAAGCTCTCTGCAGTTGGCCCTTTGGCCAGCTACAAGGTGTGTGATCTTCACTTTTCCAAGCTCCAGTTTTTTTATTACCAGGAATATCTCATAAGATTAAATTAAAATGTCATTTAAAATGTGTATCACCACTCACTAAAAGAAATTTACAAACAGCAGAACTTAAATTTAACTAGTTTTAGTGGAAAAGAAAGTTATTAAAGATGGTTTTTACAACCTTTGAGAGGGCCAAAAAAATCAGACACAGTGGCCTCACAGCTAGGAAAACATTTCACGTTCTTGCTAGGTGTGTAAACTGCAGTACACACTGAAAGGCTGAGCAGGGGACACCTACTGCTATGAATCCTAGAATGGCAGGGTCCTGTGCCACATTTCCCAAGCCTGCCAGGGAAAGAAGGTCCTCATGCAATGAAGTCTCTGTGTTGAGGTTGGGAGGTAGGCTTCGTTGAGGTTGGGAAGCAGTCTTGGTTCCTACCTTGAGATGAAAGTCTCACAAACAGGGAAATTATATGCATTTAATTAAGTTTTTTTTTTTTTTTTGGTTGGTTGTTTTTGTTTTTCTAGATGGAATCTCACTCTGTTGCCTAGGCTGAAGTGCAGCATCGTAATCTCAGCTCACTGCAACCTTCACATGCTGGCTTCAAGAGATTCTCCTATATCAGCCTCCCAAATAGTTGGGATTACAGGGACGCACTACTATGCCTGGCTAATTTTTGTATTTTTTAGTAGAGATGGGATCTCACCATGTTGGCCAGGCTGGTCTCGAACTTCTGACCTCAAATGATCAGCCTGCCTCGGCCTCCCAAAGTGCTGGGATTACAGGCGTGAGCCACTGCGCCTGGCAGTTTAATTTTTTTATGGCTGATGGCCACACACATGATATTCACAACAATCCAAAAATGCATGATAATGGCACAAAAGGCAAACTCAAAAAATGTATTTTTTACAAGGTATTATGAAAAGAGAATAAGACAAATTATATAGCTCTTGATATGCATGCATATAGCCTTTCATTAGCTCTTTTATGTTTTTAAAGAAAGTATCAAGTGCAAAATATTTCATTTTATTTGTTTATTTAAAGAGCACACATGCAACAACCATGTGTCCTCTCGGAGCATGCATTGCAAGACAGTATATTGGGTATGTTGGATATCCTGTGTTTTTTTCTCTAGCTTCACTTACCACTCTTACCACCCTGCTCTGGGAATTAGGACTCTGATCTACCCAAGCAGGCCTCCTCTGACTTCTGGTTGAGTTGGGAATCGGGAGTACCAGCAGGAGATCAGAAGGAGGAGGGAGAGAGAAGACAGAATATTTATTTCCTAGGCCCTTATCTTGCAGGGAGGAGAGAACACTTTGGGTCTGCTGCATCCCTTGACCTAAAGTCACAGATACTGTCAAGAAGGACAGCAAGTAGTGGGAAACAAGATGGATTAAATTCTATGTCATTTAAAATGCTGTTCTACCATCTTTTGGTAGAGTCATCTGAAGATGGTAGGTTTCATTAAACATTCTCCATCTAAGCTTTCTCCATCGTGGGTTTCTGCTCCATTGACTTCGTTAGCCTGAGGTTGGTCACAATTTCCCCATTAACCAGTCCAGGGGTACTTTTTATAGGTTCCCCATATTCTGATGATGCCCTTAAAATAATGCCTTTAAAAGATTATCTTCAAATTGTACAATGTGTATGTGCCCTTTCTTTTCTTTCTGGACTCTGATACCCTGAGAATGGATATTTAAAAGATAGTGTAGTGTAGGATATACAGTAATATTTGTTTAGAATTTTTTAAAAATTTTGTTTCTACATCTTTTTTATTGAGATAGTTTAATTGAAAATGTGCATGCATGGAGGGAGAGTGTACCCAATAGGAGTTTGGGAAAAGTAAGATTTCAATCCCAATAATTAATTTGGGGAGCATTTATTTGGTTTCTTTAATATTACAGGCTCTGAGCAAAAATTTCAAATACTGAGATGAATTTATAGCTATGTTCAGCTATAAGCCTTAAAGAGATAAGGCCCCAGAAAACTTAGATTTTATTTTTTACAGCAACCTTCAAGTACATAATAGCTATTGTAATAAAAATAATAGCTAGAATTATTTATATGGTTATAATAAATAATAAGAAAAGATACAAACATTGTCTTGATTTTTTAGTTTCTTTTGATGGTTATTTTGAATTCTGTAAAGTAATTCTGCAGGCAACTTTACAAAAGTGCAACTTTGGCAATTCAAGAATATTTATTAAAAACAAACCATTAAATTTTATTTGGGCAACTCAATTTTGATGAGAGTAAAGCTGAGGTTAACTGGTATGTAAAGTTAAAATTCCAACAGTGTATGAGGATCATTCTCCCTCCAATTGTTTACAGGCATATACATTCACTCACACACAGCCCCACACACTCACACAGACACATTCACACACTTACACACACTCACACATACTCAGTGAATAACTCTTACAGTTCTAACTTTATACCTGTGGTACTTTTGGTTCTGTACCTATGTAAATATATAAAACATGGGAACTCTTCCTGTCTCATGGTAAGATGAGGGTAATAGTAAGGGAAATATATAAATGTTTCCATCCAGACCATTATTTTATACACATATCAAGCAAATATAATGTAATAGTGATAGTTTTAAAACCTTTCATAACACTGCCATTTTTATCACCCAGGTGTGCATGCAATAAGCATTTTATAAAATATTTTCATATTCTGCAAGTTTTTCTTGCCTCTGAGGCTCCCCACCCATTTTGTCAATGGCAGTTGTCCCTCCAAGAGAAGGGCGGATACCATCTGGAACAAAGAGGGCATTGATCAGGCCTGCGTTTTAAAGCCAACTTAAAAAAAACTTCTAGCAAGAGACTTGAGCCTTTTAGTGAGTGAAAGAGTTGTGTTTCCTAAAATGCTGAAAAGAAACAAAAAGAGAGAAGAGAAAAAAAAGAAAGTAAAAGAAGGAAGGAAAGAAAGAAAAAAGGGAAAGAGACAAAGAAAAGGAAAAAAATCTCTCTTGTTCAAATATCAAAAGCAAAGATGGGGAATTTTGTCCATAAACCCCAAGAAGAGCGAAAGCAAAAGGAGAAAGTAGAGAGGGTTATGGTCAATGAGGTAGACACTGCGAGAGACCCAGGCACGGAAAGAAGTGTATCCTGAGTTTACCCCTCAGGCTAAACCCTAGGGCATGGTGAAAGCAAGTATGGGTGGGTGTGGCTTTCAAAGGCTGTTAGAAAACATGTAAAAGAGAAACTGCAGAATCCCAAAACAGTAGGATTTTTCTTCCCTTCCTGGGCACTGCCTGGGAAGATTAGATATCACCCCAGAGAAATGCTCCATCCACTGTGGCACCTTGTAGACCAGTGCTACTCAAAAGTGTGGTCCTGAGAAGGCGCTGGCCTGTAACACTTTGTTAGACCTCTCATCTACACTGAGATAAGTTCTGAAGGGCACAATAAGGATCTGGAAACTTTTAAAGCAATTTCATAGTCTCATGCCTCTTGAATCAAATAATAATTTGTAAAAACTGAGGCCTGTACTGTATACCTCATTGTTGTTTTGTTTGTAGTAGTTTTTACTGTATTTTACAAAAATATTGAACTGTAATGGGTTGAAAAGGAAAAACTCAGTATAGATAGTTTGGGAAGTGTTATGCTATTCATATTCTTATGGCCTCAGCCACCACAATACATGGCCCATCGAAAAACAGAAATTTAGAGCACAGATAAAAAATACCAACAAAGTACAGCATATGCCATTTCTTCAGCAACATATGTCATATGCTGAATTGAGAAAATGTGTTACAAGTGGCTAAGAGAGGGCTCATCCAGAGGGCTGAAAGTCCTGCTCCCCACTTCTCTTCTAACACTGCACACACCTGAGTCTCATGTGCCATGGGAAGAAGCCAAGACTATACATATTTGACCAGTAGGGGACATAGGAGGTACCTGGATGGAAACTCCAGGAGTCAGCTGTGGAACTAGAGCAGAGCGATCCCACTGCTAAAGGGCAGATGGCCTAAACCACAGCTGGAGGAAGGATTTAGCTGATACTCAGACAAGCTCATAGTGCTAGTGAGAGCCGAGGTAGGATGGAACCAGCATGAGAACAGCCCATGAGTCCACTAGACCCAGAGGTCTCACAGGACACCAAGAGACTGGCACTTAGGCTATTTCTTCAGAGGTCAGTGAGGACCAAATGGCCATCCATTCATTCCTGACATCCCTGGGCATACATGCCTTCTAGCCAAGCAACTCATGGTCTTGAAAATTCCTGATAGAAACCATCTTGGGAATGCAGGTGCGGAATAGTGGAAGGACTAAGGATTCACTTCAAAGTGACTGCCCCAAAGAAATTATACACTTCAATTCAACAGCCACATTGTTCTCATTACCCAGAAGTATGGTAGCTTGAGAGCAAAATTACATAAAATGTAGGAAATAAAGAAATACTTTTTTTAAAAAAACTAACTGGTAGTGCATAAATTATTAACCCTGCTGTACACTCAATAAATAGTGACAATAAAAACCATGCCTAGCATATAGTACACTATTAATAAAGGCTTGCTGAAATAGTAAGAGGAACTCCCATGAATATTACATCTCAAATATTGGCACACAAGCAGAATTAGGACCTATAGGACCTGTAGAAGCTCCCTCTTCTTGCAGGGTGACAGGATCACAACTTTGTTGCCTAATATTTTAAGTGAAGCAAGTAAATTGTGTAAGAGTCATAGCCATGGAGATTATTAATAACGTCCTGAATAAGTGCTCAGATAGGAAGTTCTCCAAGTCATGGGGATGGGTCTTAGGAGAGAGGATTTGATATTTATTCACTTTTAGATTTGCTGGGCTTTCCAAAAGGATGGGATATAACAGGTCAGGGTGATCTGTCCCTGAACTCTACACGGAGACTTCATCTTAGTAATCCCAAGCCCTCTCTCAGGTATTGCCTCTGACTTTTGATGACGTCTAGTAGGCAATGATCACTAGTCATTTTTTCAATAAATATTTATAGAATCCTAGTTGATTTTTGGATGCTGAGGCCTTAAAGATAATTAAAGTTGATTTTTAGATTTAAAGAGCATTCTTCCCACTCAAGGAGATCACATTGCAGTGGGGGAAGCACAAAGGTAAACTGAGAGACACAGCTGTGGTCATCGGCATAATGAGAGAACAAGGAGCTAAAGAGGAATGGACCCGGGGACACGGCTAACCTTTTCTAGGCTTGCTCAGGAAGGGTTTCCTGAGAAGGCCTAATTGGAATCTTTTGGGCTGAGCCGTGCATAATTCAGAGTTCAGAGTTCACCAAGGGCGGATGGTAGATTCAGTCAGGCTAGGGGAAGGAAACAATGCGGAGAGAAAAAGCTGTATGTTTATATGGCAGTAGAATTGACCGGCTGGAGGAACTTGAGATGTTTTGGTGATTGGAGCATGAAGCATGAGTGTAGTTCATGTCCTGGCTGTTAGGATAAGGCAAGTGTTAAGCGAGGGAACTGAACAAGTCTGCAGAATCATATTACGTGTCATGGAAGGGTTTGAAGATGGAATCACCTGCCTGGATTTGGTCTTGGAAATTTTGTTCTAGAAATTAGATGGCAGGTAGGGTGGAGGGAAAAGATGGAAGATTAAAGAGTCTAAAACCAGCTTGCAAAAGCCGGTAGACGATAGTCAAGATCTTCGGATCGCCCAACTCAGACTCACTCAGATCTTTGCTGAGAGAAAGGGGATCTCTTCGCTTGCAAACTGGAAATAGAGATCATCAGGACCGGCTAATCTCAGGTCTGTCACGTGAATTCAATGTCATAGAGAGTTTCTACTTTTCTCCGTGGTTATACACCTCTCCTCTGGAAAAACTAAGAAACTGAGCAAATGGTCCATTCTCTCAGTTTTTTAATCCCAAATCCTATAAGATGTTTTGCATATTAGTATTGTCCTTACCAAGATAAGCTTTACTGCAGTGCTTATTAATTCGGTTCCCTTCTGGTTCTGGAGTCCAACACACAGATGATTTTAGGTTTTATTCTATGGCACTAGAAACGTCATACCTATTTGGGTGCCACTATTTTATTTAATGCAGATATACTTGCATAATCTTTTTGTTTTTTAATATCTGACTCTTTTCCCTATCTGCAAATCCTAGTCAGGATGCAATTTTCATCCCCAAGATGACTTCTCTTATTAAATTATTTTTTTAACATTGAAAGAAGCGTGTGTGTGTTCCAGCTCAAATAGAGAGAGCCTGTTAGACGAGTTGAGTAGGGTACAAGGAGAGATGTATGTTCTAACATTTCTGTCTCCTGCATCGTTTGTAAATCCTTTTTTTTTTTTTTTCCACATTGGCCATTTCCAGTCTAAACCTTTGGAAGCATATAATGATGTCTGCAACATCAGTCTGTGTTAGTCACATCTTCTTGTAATGTAAAATCCCGTAAAGCTCAGAATGTGCCTATGTGGGTAAAACCCTTTCCCTTTTCTTCCCCTTCTTTCCCTTCGTTTCTCATCCTGATCTTAGAATAAGTTTGGCTAGATCTTTTCATATGATGTTTCATACTCCTTGGTTAAGCAAATGTAAAATTCATGTCTGTATATTCCCGAGAAGCTCTTCCGCATACTCCTGAGACACCTCCTGTAGTTTCTTTTTGATATAATTGTTCTTTTTCCATATTCTTATTTTGCATATTGCTGAATCTAACACTACTTTTGAATCCTCATGACTAGCCTGCCCCTCATTCTACTCTTGGGGGAAGCAGATAAATGCAGAGATGTAACTCAGAGGGACCCAGGAGTCGGAAAATCCAGGCTTCTCTGGCTCCTCTCAGATGGTTCCAATTGCTAGTATGACAGTCTTTGCCAAGCAGGGCATTAATTTTAACCATAGAAACCTGGCAAGTCAGGCAATTCAGCTTAACATTGCAATTCGGCAGTGGGAACTATTAGTTTTGGATCTGATTTTAAGTGGTCTCAGAATACCGGTTACAAACAGAAAGGGTTTCCTGAAGCCAAGTCATATGGTGTCCCTGTGTTTCCTTATCTGTCTTCAGCCAGGCTACCTGGGACCAGAGCATGTGCTTCTCTACTGTACACAGTCTAATCCTGTGAGAGGCAGTTGTCCAGCTCTGGTGTTAGTGAATTTTATTTTCCTTTTTGCTTTCTTATTTCTTTATCTCCAAACTAATGCATGTACATTGTTGGTGGAAAGGAAAGAAAATACAAATAATTTGAAAGCCCTTAAAGGTCTTTTGTATCTCCACCAAGCAAAAGCAACCCCTTTAATAACGTGGTGTCTATCCTTCTAGAAGAGGCAGTGTGGGGAGAAAGAGGCAGAGGGAGGGAGGATTTTACTTGCATTTTCTATTTCCTTGGAACTGCTCCAAAGCAAAAGCACCAAAGCCCTGCTTTGGCCAGGACAGTATCCACTTTATCTTGGCTGCACAAGGATAGCTTATGCTCCACTGTGGAAGAGGTTGTTCAACCTTCCATAACCCTGCAAACAAACTCACCCCACCTCTGAGCAACTGGGACTGCAAGGCTACTCTTGACACAGCCCCAACCCCTACCTCTGTTAGCTACATCTTTCTGGTTGCAAGGCATGGAGACTAATTTTCTTAGTAAAAAATGCGTATTTATTAATGTATACTTGTATGCCATATTTGCAACAAGCAATCTGTCTATGCTTCAGCACCCCCAAGGGCCAACTTCTCCCTGTTTTTCTCACACAAAATCTTTGGCTTCACTCAGCGTCTGCTCTCCTCTCCTTTTTCTGTGGATAGGTCAACTCCCTAACCCCCATTCCATATTTCAAATTATGGAAGGAATTCATCTGCTAGAAGCTACTGTCTCTGTTTTCCAGAATTTTCTGAGTTAGGCAACCTCCCTAATCACTGGATAGACCTTTGGGTCAGGCATTTGCTCTGATCCGTTTAATGGTAGCACTTGTTCAAAAAAAATGGAGTAGGGCTTCTTTCCTAAAGGAGCAGGGTTGGAAATGTTTAAGTCCAGCAGGCAGCAAGACCAGCGTGTTCAATAATGAGAGTACCAATCAAATAGCTGATAAAGGAAGGGAGGAAAAGATTTGAGTTAAAGTTATTTAAAAGTTGAAAATGACAAGATAGAACGAGTGATTGATTATTAAACTCTTAGTTTTCTGGCTTGGATGAATGGGTTAGGTGGGGTTTCATTAAGAAAGACAAGAGCTATAAAAGAGACAATTTCTTTTGGAATTTATATCTGGGCATATTTAGTTAGAAGAATGTGTGGGGCATCTAGGAGATATCTCTTTGCAAATACTGATACAAATCTAGAGCTGAGGGTACTGATCTTGCTGTAGATTAGACTTGGGTGTCATTACACATGGATCGTGGATGTCAATCTACTGCTTGAGAACCTCTGCTCTCTCTATCCTGGAATAAGGCTAGATGCAAGAAGGTGACAGCAAATTGAGCTTTGGAGGGAACACTATTCCTTTGTAGAGATATTTCATCTCATCAGATTTGTAAATTAATTACATGAATAGTAAAAAAAAATCAAGCATCAATACCTTCATATATTTTTTAAATAAGACTATTAGGGTCCACTGTGATTCTTAATGAAATCTAAGGCAACCTGGCTACTAGGATAAGGCAAGTAAAGGTAATACTTATGAATTACAGCTGCCATTGAGATCTATCATGGTAAAAATGTAGGACATATTATGATGCTATGCAGTGTGAAAATCTGTACTGAACTTGGTGGAGATTGGCATGAAGTGACTCTTCTTGGCAAAGAAGGTTTAAAATGTCTTTCCCCTAACCACAGGACACAAGAAATTAATTATGTCAGTGAAACACAGCTGCCAAGGAAAAGGCAGATCCAGTGCTCAGGTTACAGAGACAGAGAGCTACAGTACCGCCCAGCTATTCCCATTGACCAATATAGGAGGCAATTTGCCAATTTGCAACACAGCTTTGTAAATATGTGGTCCCCCAAGACTCTGTTTTGAACAGTACATAAGCGGAGCCTCAGGAGCAAAGCCTGAATGATTGGTTGAAGAAAGGCCTTCCAAAAAAAAAAAAGATGCAAATACTACACAGACATCTTTGTTTTTTGAAAGCTCAAGATAGAAACTCCACAAAAGCACAAAGATGTCAGAAGCAAGTAGAGGTTTGGCAGTGCCTTCCTGTCTTCCATCACCACCACCATCATCACTGCTGTAGAATGGGCTTTGAAATGATAAAACTCTGGTTTTTAAATTCTGGTTTTTTTATTTACCATGTGTATGACTTTGGGCAAGTTGTTAAACTTCATCTGTAGAATAAGGATGTTGCTTAGCATTGTTGCAAAATAGAGATAATGTATGCAAAGTACCTGGCACAGGGGTGGTTGTGAAATGTTTGCAACTTTTGCTTTTTCAAATTTGTATAAATGTAAGAGTTACAAGTGCAGTTTTGTTACATGTATATATTGTGTAATGGTGAAGTTTGGGCTTTTGATGTAACCATCACCCCAATAATGTACATTGGACTCATCATTTTCAATTGTTAATCCCCAAAACTTTGTTAGTAAAAGCAAAAAATACCTGTGAGAAATCTTCTAGGTTCCCTTATAAAATTATTCTTCTCAATTTATTTTTCCTTAAGTTTGGAAATCTTTCAACTCTAAAATCTTTTCTGCATCATTTAGGTTTTTAGGGATCTCACCCAAATATTTGAGGAGGATTTACTGCAGTTTTGATAGATACATAGAATGGTTTGCCATTTTCTCTAAATCGTAAGTAATTTTCAGATCTAAAATCATGCTGAAGATTCTATTTTATGTATGAATCTGGCTATTACTTGAATGATTCAGAGACCTCAGTTTCTGCATGGCATCTGGCAGGACTTCAGGAATTTGAGGTTGGATGATTGTACCATCATCACTGCATATTTGGGATTTTTGTGCTATTATACTGAGGATTGTGTAGCATCTTCCTAGCAACTTCTTTCTAGTTTGTTGCTATTATTGCAAACGTCAGATCTCAAGCCTTTTGAGTGTTGGGCTTTTTATGAAGCCAGTAGCCAGTCTAAAATAAATTACTACACATATGCTGATAGCAGAAGATGACGATAGAGTTATTTTCCCATTTATCCTTTATTGTTATATTTAGAAAGTGAACTTCTGTGGACACTGACATATTTGCCTTGTATTTTTTTGGTTCTTGCTTATAGCTTGCTCTGTGAATAGCCTAAAAATTATTTCAATAGTGGTCATCTACGTTAGCTAGAGGGTAAATTCCCTAAGGACATAGACTGACAGCAGATTTGCTCAGCGTGGGGAGAAGGGAAATCACCAAATACGTTTTGTTAAATTACACCAACTTAGTGAATTCATAATGAAAACAAATGGCAAAGTTTTATTGCACCAGGAAATGCTTTCAGATGAAGTTCTTTCTGACTAAATCTGGGGTGATATGAAAAGTAACTTATTCTCCCAAGACAACTGGCATCTTTTCTTCTGAGACTCACTAGGCTTTCAGGAAATGCTAAGATGGAGTTTGAGGTTTGGAAGAGGCTCCTCTAGGCATATAGAAACCGAAGTGCATGTGTGACTTTCTTCTTACTCAAGTGTATTGAGTAAAGAAAAATGTTATCTACAACTTGATGTTGGCTAATTCTGACTTAATAAACACAATCTTGGACTTGTGTGGACATGTAAAGCTTTGGTAGCCACATATAGCTGAGGACTAACTTCCTTTGGCCTGCCACATGACTTTCTTGACCCTGACATGGACACAGTGGAAGGACTAGACTGTCTTTTTATTATTTAACAGAAAATGGAAGAGTCAACCAAAACAAAAGCAGCTGGAGCTGAAATTCATTACTGGACAGAGAGGTTGAGATCATGCTTATCATGCTTAGCTGAGTTTGAAACCTACACCAAGGTCAAGGCCCAGGGTGCGCTATAAAAAGATAACTCTTTCCTCCAGGTTGTAGAGATTTTTATAATAGAAAGAAAGAATTGCCAAATCTGAACTCTGTCACCGGTAATTAGCAGCTCCCAAATGTGGTAAACTGGGTTCCAGTTGCCTCGGAGGTAATATCTGACACAGAGATGACAAGAGATGCAAGTTTATGAATATGAAATCTAAATTAAATAGTCACACTGAGGAGATCATTTTCCCTCTGTTTTTGCTTTGTGTTTTTGGTTATGATCCATTTCATTAACCTGAACTTCAAGTTTACCCTATGGTACCCAACCAAGATAAAATCTGGGGATATAATTGTCACAAAAAAATGTCTCATCTGTTTTCATTACCCATTCATTACAGGCCCTTCTTATTTTAGAATCCATTAAAAAAATTACAGTAGCTAGTTTACAGAACGTATTTTATAGCACTAATTATGATCATTGAATTTTGCGTGTTTTTAGGAGTGATGGCTGTGTACTATTCTGGTTATCTTTGTTATAAAAACATTGACTTGACTTAGACATTATGGGCTTTTCAAATATTTTAAAACAGTATTCAACAACAGACTCATTCAGTTTCACACAATTACCTTGGCTTCCATTCCCTACATTCCAGGCAACCACTTTTGAGTAGCCCATTTGTCTCCCTGCAACTCTGATATTTTCCTTCTCTTTTCTACCATTCTCTTTGTATTCCCATCCACCCCCAAATTATCCCATTCCTTCATCCACTGATCCAGGGATATGAGCTGCATTGCTAATTTTAAAACAGGGAAAATGAAAAGTGTTGGTTCTAGAATGGGAATGAATGAGCCTACAGTGAGAAGAGGTGGTTTAGTCTACACTTTGTCTTTCTTGTGAGGCAGCATACTCACTATGCACAGGATCATGAAAAACAAAATGAAATACAACACAATGCTTTGGCAGTTTATTTAATTTTGTGTATTAGAACAAAACCAAGAACAGTTCTGAAATGAAAGCCAGTCTTCAAGAGTTTCTAAATGTTTGGCATCTGCCTCCTTGCCAATAATATACTAATGAGCACTTTTGTTCTGTTTTACAAACCTTATCTAAGTCATTTTCTAAGTCTGATTTGTGCTGTTATAAATTACTAAGATGGGGCAACTTATAATGAACAGAAATTTATTGGCTCACAGTTCAGGAGGCTGGGAAGTCCAAGGCTGAGGGGCTGGCGTTTGTTAAGGGCCTTCTTCTATGTCATCCCATAGTGGGAAGGCAAAGAGAGGGTGAAAGAGAACAAGAAGTGACCGAACCTGTCCTTTCATGAGGAACCCACTCCTGCAGTAATGAACCCATTCATATGATCATGGCATTAGTCCATTCATGAGGGCAGAGCCCTCATGGCCTAATGTCCTCTTAACAGTTTCATCTCTTAATAATGTTACAGTGGTAAGTTTTCAACACATGCTTTCTGGGGGACACATTCAAACCATAACAGTCATATACAATACACAGCACTGAATGGGAAAGTACAGTTGCCCTCCTTGCTTAGGACAGGAATAAAAAGTTTCAGGTCATGCAACAAATGATAGAAAGAGGATTCCATCCATCCCCAAATCTAGTGACAGGCTATTCAGCTTTCACACCACTAGGGTGTATGCTTATTTGGCTGTTGCGTTTTTATCTTATCATAATCTCTTAATTCAGGAAAAATTACTTTACCACCTGAGCCTATGGTGAAAAATTAAAAGTATAATTCCTGCTATGCTACTCTACTGCTCTACAAGTAATAAAGTGAATTTTAAGAATTTTCTAAGATGTATTTTACAGATTTTGAATCATCATTGAATTAGACATTTTTAAAGCTTAATTCCTGTGCACCAAAAACACAGGATTAAGAATTTGCAGAATGAAGGGGAAAAAATGAAGTAATAAGTTTAAGTTCAAAGAAGTTAATTTTATTTTTGACATTAGGAATGCTCACATTCAAGATCCTTTCTGGTTATGTCAAAAGGCATGAAACACTGAGATCATATCTTTACATTAATAACGTGAACCTGCAAAGTTCAGCTATTAGAATCAAACACATTGAAGAGGTAATCTCCTCTCTGTGAAATCTGTCTAACCTATATCTTTGTGATCTCAATAAGGAACTGACTCTCAAACGTATCTTGTAAATGCAAACATTCAGAATGCTGCAATATGGTACTTCAAGGTTCTGAGCTTTTCGTGGCCAATCTATCACTAATTAAGTGTAATTAAAGGAATAAAAACATAGTGCTACAAAACTGAATTTATATTTAAAAAAACAGATGCATATTTTGTCTGGGAACTTTGCTGGCATTAATATTTTTGGAAGTGATATTATGATAGTAAGTAAATTATAGATCATTTTATTGAAAGACAGAGTGAGTGTGTACTTAGATTCCAAAGATAGTCTTTCAAACTTCTATTTTCCTATCAAAATTAGTCATCAGAAATTTTTCGGATTAATACTCTCAATGTAATGAGAGTATTAGAATCTAGGAAAAGAATGGTGTTTAAAAAAATATATGAGCTAGGCATGGTGGGTTTTGCCTGTATTCCCAGATGCTTGGGAGGCTGAGCTGGGAGGACTGTTTGAGGCCAGGAGTTTGAGACAGCCTGGGCAGCACAGTGAGACACTGTGTCTAAAACAATTAAAGAGAGAGAAAAAAGAAATACTGCTTTAAGAATGAGTGAAGGGGCAGAGCTTTATTTTGCATTGGGAATGGGAATTGCGGACAAACTGTTGTTTGGTTATTTTTGCAGCAGTTTAAGTACTGTGGAAGAAAGACGAGAAATTTCCCAAGTATTTCATGCAAGAGCACTAAATACAGATGAAAGATCATATCTCAATTCAATTAAATCCAATCTCGAGTGATGTAACAGTATACTGGCTTTTGTGGCATCATAGAAATATTTAAAAAGTCTCCACACTTACAGAGCTTACAGTCTTATCACATAGACAAGCATATTAACGACATGTTCCACAGCCAAGGATAATGACACAACCTCCATTTGTATTCAATAGATATTAGATTCCATGATTCACAATGTTCAAGTTACTCTTGGTGAAGTGCAGTGAGAGCCACTTAATTTCCTTCCTGCAACATCTAAATGTCCTAGGCTAACTCTGAGGGCCAAATACCCAGTCCTCTTCATTTTTTCCCATTTAAAAAGTTATCATTTTGATTGGAAAATATTTCCTAACTACTATAAGCTCCTAAACACTGGGATTGATTTTTATCCATTTCTGACTCCTACTAAATACCCCGTACACTGAGCTGTGCATTAAATGTTCAGTAAACTTCCTAAGAAGAAAAGAAAATTTTTGTATAAAGGAATGAAGGAGAGAATGTTTTAGTAACACACATACACACACACACACGGACACACACACACACACTCTTAAATGTACAGTTAAAAAATTTAAGACCTGGACTAAAAATCCCAGGTTCACCTCTTAATAGCTTTGTGATCTTGAACAATCTTAGGATTATGATTGTAAAAGGATTGTGGGTTTTTCATTCCCAAAATGACAAATGTAAGGGTAGATACTTGAGATAATCTTTTGTGGGGTAGATTACATTATATATGTGGAGTTCTTACAATAATAATAAATGCCCAGTAATTATTAACTACATTGTTAGTTCCACCTCTCTATGCCTTAAAATATTTTACACAACTAATACTAAAAGTTGGATATAATAAAACCAGAAAAAAAAGAGGCAAGAATCAGTCTATAAAGTTGACATCTTACTTATTCCAACTCTTTGACCAAATATGTGAAACTGGCTTGTAACTCAAAAAAATCCCCAAAACCAGGTAATATTTCACTGGAAGAAGATACTGAATTAATAAGAATTTAGCTAATATTTATTGTTTATGTCATTACTTGGGGGATGTGACAATATCCTAAAACAGATACTGAGCAACACTCAAAACACCATTGCAAAGAAATTGGAAAGAGTTGATTCAGGTGTTTCATTAATAGGAATGAATATGAATAGCAGTTGACTTAGATTTTTATCAAGTCATAGTAAATGGCATTCTCTAGGAATCCAGAAATATGGTCCTAAATCCTGCTGACTTGGTAACTGACAGATTTTTCTGAATTATGATGAATGAAGAAGCTTCTCTTTTTTAAAATTTTAAAATTTTTTCATCACCTCAATTCTGAAGAAGCTTCACTCTAGATGTTTAGTTCAATAAAATTATGCTTTCTGACACCCAACTGTTTACCCTTAAAACTGTCCAAAGATTCTAAAGTCTGCTGCCTTTAAAATCTAAATTAAGTCACTGGTTTATTAATCTCTTAGTTAGCTATGCTATGAAATATCAGCTCACTTTCTCAAACTGTTTTTATTTGTGATCCAATGTCATTCCCTCCATCTATGCCTCTTCCAAGGTTATAAAATTTGGCTGAATTCATACCCTTTGCCAAAGTTGTGACCTAGCCAGTTATTGAACATTTTCTAAATTAGGAAGTATCTATAGCTTTAGTGCCTCCCTTTCATGAAAGTTCCCCATTTTTTATGGTTTAAAATTAAGTCACTACTCCAGACATGGTACTGGTGACCCAGCTGGTTTCTTGGGCTCCCATAAGAAATTATTTCTGTTGTCCTCCAGACCTCAGATCCAGCATTCTATTGGGATCTTGCTAAATGCCCATGTTACCTCCAAATCCTAGCTGGTTGCCGACTCACAGGCATTCATAGCCAATTTCAATCTGGGCTTCACATTTTCTCCTTACACACCAAAGCTGGCCTCGTAACACTGCCCAACCAAGGTCAGGAGAAAAGAGTCACACCAGTTGTACAGTCCTGTAGCCAACAGAGTCTCTGAGATCTTATTGGAGTCTGTAAGTTCACAGCACAACTCAAGGATGATGGCAGCCTTCCACCCAGATTATCATTGCCTTTCCCGTGATCTGGGCTTGGAAGTCTTGGGCTGACTCTTGTCTGAATCATGACTCAACTTATAATGATGCCAGGTGCTGTGCCTCAGCTGCTCAGTGGCATCTCTGAAGGTCTACATTTAGCTCTGAGTAAAACCAGTTCACTTAGGTCCTTGCTGGTTCCATATTTGGGTCTTCAGTCAGTCCCAGGATTTCCAGAGTGAGCTGACTTATCATGACTTGTGCTTCGATACCAGAAATGAAAATAGCCAAGCATCAGGTCAGCGTAAGGAGTTGGGGAAAGCATTTAAGACCTCCCTGAATGACTGTGTGAATTAGGGTTATGGTTGGATAGGATATTGAAATTAGCATTCTAAGTGGAAGAACTACATGAGGAAAGGCAGATGATAGTTTTTTTTTTTTTAAAGGAAATCAAGCAGAACAATTTTCCCAGGGGTTTCAATTTGGATTTATGACGTTTAATAAAAATTCACAGGAAATTTTAAATGCAAAAATCAAGAATTTGATATTATGTTATTCTTCCATGAGAGGCATTGAATATTTTTAAGAGGCAAACATGTATTAAGGGTATTTAATTGGTGCCAGAGAACAAAGAGTAAGACCTGTATGTAGTGATTGTACTCCTTTTCCAGTAAGAGAGGCAGATATGTAAATGAATAATTTTTATGGTCAGTTAAAACTTTTTTAACTAATGCAGTTTGGCCCAGAAGTTGGTTAATTAACCCAATTATAAAATTTGGTTATAGGAGGGAATTAAAAAATACCTTTTAATACTTAAATTGAAAACATGAAATTGTGTGCTCATTCACTGATATTTTGATATGAGTCAAGATCTTTACTTTGAGTAAAGATCTGCTTATAATTATGCATTGCTTTTTTTTTTTTTTACAATATGCCGCATAATGGATGACATATGGTTTAATGTTTTTGTTTTTCAAAATGGAGTGAAAAATCAAAGAAACTTGCAAAGTAATTAGTGAAAAGTGTACTGGGTTTGTATTAGTTTTATAAACTAGCGTTTTAGTTATCTTGCCATCACTTAAGTCAACAATGTTATTTTTAGCAATGCATCTTTGTTCAGTTTTTAAAAAATATTCACATGTATTTTCATAGAAACAACCCTTTTCACATTTTTCAAAATCACATTCAGTACATAATTTAATTATGTAATTAAAATAGTAAGTAAAACTGATTTGGGGAAAAATGTTACCAACTTTTTGGTACACGTACCAGTAAACTGGCAGAAACAGAAGCTCATGATCATGCTGGAACAGCTGAAAGGTGAGAAAGTCTAGAATGCTTTGGGCATCAGCCATAATATTTTACAAAAGGAATGGATGATATAAATGTAGTTTAGGTAAATTAATTGGAGTTTCATTAAGAAAAGTTCTATGTTACCAAAACTGAGACATGCACAGATGTTATGCGAGCACAGTCAAAGAGCAATTAAGTATTTGTGAAATCAAGAAGGCCCAGATCAGAATCCTGGGAAGCACCAAGTGTGGGATGAAAGATTTAAAATTTGACTATCTTGATGAGTGTAAACAACAACAAACTTCCACTTAAATATCAACTCATAATTGATTTCAGGAAAACTGAAATAGAGGTAGAAGAGACAAAAAGGGGAGTCAGGGAGCCATTGAAGAAATTATCTCTTCAGAAAAACAAAAACAAAAACAAAACAAAAAAAAGAAATATCTCTTCAATTTCACCATTTTACTCAAGATCAATTCTTCTCTGAAGTGCAGAAGTGGAGGTAATTTAAATACAAATGTTTACGTTCTTTATTTTTCAGCTACAGTTTCAACTTTATCAACAAAGATAGAAGGAAGGGAGAAGATGCCTGAGAAGGATATGTTCTTCAGAAAGGTAAAAAAATAAGAAAATTTCTTTGAATGTGGCACAAATAAAAACTATAATATATAATTTTCATGTGTAGAACAATGCAGAAAATTAAAAAAATTCTGCAACAGTAGTAAACTGCACATATATATCAGCAAATAAAAGCTAAAAGTCATCCATAATTCTACCCAGAGATGATCTGTGGTAAATTTTATCTTAGATTGCTTTTTAGTAGTATGTGTATACATACACATAAATAGGAACATACTAAAACGTCTTTTTTTTTCACTTAATAATGCACTGTGGCCATTGTTCATGACACTGACTTCTTTCATTTTTCTAGTCTGTGGCATTGACTGTGATTGTAATTACTAAATTTTAGTGTTGAGGGTAACTATTCTTGTGCTCATCTTGTTTGTCATTTTAATAGCATAGTGGTTGCTGTAGATTTCAGGAAGCTCTTCTACTTTTTTTCTTTTCTTTCTTTCTTTCTTTCTTTTTTTTTTTTGAGACAGAGTCTCCCTCTCGCCAGGCTGGAGTACAGTGGTGCCATCTCAGCTCACTGCAACCTCCGCCTCCTGGGTTCAAGCAATTCTCCTGCCTCAGCCTCCAGAGTAGCTGGGACTACAGGCATGTGCTGTCACACCCAGCTACTTTTTGTATTTTTAGTAGAGATGGGGTTTCACCATGTTGGCCAGGATGCTCTAGATTTCTTGACCTCATGATCCACCCACCTCAGCCTCCCAAAGTGCTAAGTAAGCCACCACGCCCAGCCCAGGAAGCACTTTTTCAATAGGTAAAGAAAAATTCTTCTTTGTTTTCACTTGGGGCTTTCCCCTTTATTTCATTTATGTCAGCAATGGGCATAGAATTGTGTCAATTTTTTTTTGGCATTTATAGAATTGATCACACAGACTATTACCTTTAACTGGTAGATGTTATAAAATACATGGATGAAAAGTTCCTCTTTTTCTCCTTTCCTCCTTCCCTCCCTTCCTCCCTAACCTTCCTTCCTCTCCTCCCTCCCTCCAAGTTTAATTTTTATTCTATTTGAAATATTTTTATTTTTCCAAGTAATATATGAACATAGTTTGAACAGTGAAAATACCTTTACAAGGTTGATATTGAGAAATATCTCCTTGAAGCCCAAATATCCTATTCCTGTGTTCCCTTTTACAAGCTCTTTTGGCTACTCTTTGGGCATTTACTTTCTTGTATTTTCTAATGCTGTCTTTAACCTGTCAATTTTAATTACTTTTTATTTCTTTTTATCAAATGAAGATTTAGCATTCTCACCTCATCTTATGTTTCGTCTTTACCTATTGTTTCAATATAACGTTTTAACATTAGTTTTGTTGAATTAATGGTCATTTTGTTGCTGTGACTATGTTAGTGTTGTTCAGAGTTGAGTTGAGTAGCACAGTTAAATTTTCTATTTTGTGCAATTTTTTGTTTTTCCAAAAGTTAGTTATGATTTGTATTTTTTTTTCCTAGGTTTACATATCACAATTACTATATCAAGCTTTCCAACAGATCAATAAGACACTTACGAATCTTAGTTTCCCCATGGTTAAATACAACTGGTGTTTTATCAGTTCTGCCCCTCCCTAGCCCACCCCTAGCCCTTGGAAGCATCTGCTCTGGAGCTCTCCATCCTCCTGGCTCCAGTGTGTGGACTAGTTTCACTTTAGAGCTGTTGCACAGTGATCCTTGAACTTCTCCTCTCCCCTTTTCTGACTTCCTTATTTTGAAGATTCAGTGTCTTCCTCTATTTTAGTTAACATCCTCATCATCCAGTAACTTCTTGAGATGATGTTCATGAGAGATCATGTTTTTAGACGTTGTATGTCTGAGAATGCTTTTAACACATTGCCATACTTGATTGATAGTTTGACATTGATTGATTGATAGTTTGGTTGGGAACAGAATTTCAGTGTGAATAAAAATTTCCTTCACAAATGTGAAGGCATCGGATTATCATCTTCCATCTTCAAATGTGGTTATAGAGTTGTCTAATGCGACTCTGATTTTAGATGATTTTTTTTCCAAAAATCTATTTCTTTCTTTCCGAAGGCATTTATAATATTCTGTTTATCCCCAGTGCTCTGAAATTTCATAGAGATGAGATGTGCATTAAAATAGGCAATTTTTCTATTTATTTTGTAGAGATTCTATTTTACAAATTCATGTTTTTCAATTTAGAGAAATTTCTTGAATTTTTTTTTTTTTTTTTTTTTTTGAGATTGAGTCTCACTCTGTCACCCAGGTTGGAGTGCAGTAGGACCATCTCAGCTCACTGCAACGTCCACCCCCACTGAGTTCAAAGGATTCTTCTGCTTCAACTTCTTAAGTAGCTGGGATTACAGGTGCATACCACCACGCCAGGCTGATTTTTGTATTTTTAGTAGAGATGGGGTTTCACCATGTTGGCCAGGCTGGTCTTGAACTCCTGACCTCAGGAGATCTGCCTGCCTCATCCTGCCAAAGTACTGGGATTACAGGGTAAGCAACCACTCTGGCCTTGAACTAATTTTTGATAATGTCTTCCAGTCTTTTTTATTCACTGTAGTCTCCTTGAACTTTGATTTGTGGCATATTTTATTGTTCAAACTCTTCTTTAAATATTTTATTTTTATGCCACACATTTTTATATGTTTATCTTTTATTATGTTTTCTGATAGAGTTTCTTTAGTTTATCTTCCTACACTTCTATTAACTTTTTAATTTTAGCAATGTTATTTTTATTTCCCATTAAAAGTTATTCTCTGATTGTTCTTCTTCTGTATCCCATAGTTATTTTATGGATGCAGCATTTTTCCTTAAATTACTGATGACAATAATTTAGGATTTTTTTAAGCTAAAAAAAAAAAACCTTATCATATTCTCATTTCTTCTGGGTTCTTTTATTTTTCTTTTTTCTTTTCAGAAGCCTAAAGCTGAGACAAGCAGTTAGTTTTCTTGGGTCTCTGCCTTTTATAAAATTGGATGATTTCCTCAAATTTGTGATGATGTTTAAAACTGAATGCTTAAGAGAAAGGCCCCGAGCATCCTGACCGGAAGCTGTGTGTGTGGTCAGAGCTTGCCATCTGATGGCTTTTCTCTTGGAGATCTGGCCATTTTTGTTGCAGAACTCTACCTCTCTTTATGTCAGTACCTATTTGTCATTTCTCTGCTCCAGAGATTTTCCAGGAAACAAACAAAAATATTCCTCCTCTAGTCCTCCTCCTAGAAGATTATATGCCTGGTGGCTAGTGTTCTTGGAATTGAAGAACACAGAAAGGTTCGGGGGAGGTGTCCCACTGTCCTGAGTGTAGACTTTTAATTATCCCTCTATTTTCATTTCAGCATCTCTTTTCTTCTTTCCACATTTCTGGTATCCGTGAATCCGGAGCACTTCCTGCTTCTGCTAGAACAGGGTAGGAAAGGTACCATGGTGTTTTAGGATGTAGAGAGAATGTGGAGTCCAACATGCATGCTTTCAGGAATCGACACAAGAGCCCCTTACACTCTCCTTTGTATTAAGGAGCACATTCAGGTAATGAGCCCATCTGGGATTGCCAGGCAGGCTCTTTGTTGGTACTTGGCATTCAGCTCTTTAAACTCCACTAACTCTTTCAAATTATTTGTATTTCTCCCACATTTGAAATCACTTTTCCAATCTTAAGTCCTTGCCATTCTCTTTTTGTTAAAAAGACTTTTTAAAAGTGTTTTTAAAGTATAAACACACACACACACACACACACACACACACACACACACACACACACACACACACACAGAAACAAAAAAGAACCTAATTTCAGTGGGGTTAGGTCTAAACATTCAACTGCTTCATTGACTACAGGGTAATGTACAAAGAAATTGGCCACAGGTTAGTGTACAACCGGTAAGTGCAATAAAAGGAGTGAAGAGCACCAACCATACAGATTCTGATGGGAATAGCATCCCTTAAAATTGGGCAGGATGGTAGCCCTGAGTGAGCCTTAGCAAGGTACCCTGGGTGACTGACCAGGGTAGGTAAGGATAGGGCTTCTGCGTTCTTCAATTCTTCATTTATTCTTGATTTCTAAGAGAAGTGTACATCAGGAGACGTAATCAAGAGAAGTATGTGAAAAGGAATGATCAAACTATTGAAATTAGAAGTTTCAAACTGCTAAAAGTAAAAAGGAGTGCAATTAATAGATGCACGGGGCCAAAAGGCTTAAATCAACTAGGACTGTTTCAGAAATTGGAATCTACATTCGCCCTAATTAGCATCCTCTGTAGCAAGAACTCTTAACCAACCTTGACAGGAAGGAGAGTTTTAAAAATAAATGTGATTGATTGACAATGAATTTCTTTTCAGTACTTTTACCTCTGAAGTAGTTTTCTATGGAAATTTATGGCTTTATATTATCAAAAGTCAGCCTATATATAAAAAATCTTGAGAATTATTTTATTTAACACATATTTCTTCCATATTCCCCAGGAGAAAATACCTAGCAATTTCTTTTTTGCATTTATTTAAAAAAATAACCCCACTTTTATATACACACATATCTAGGGATTTCTAAAAGAAAAACTCAAATCATAAATTTCTGGGACCTTATCTATTCTTTTCTTGGTTATCAGAATATTAAATGTTAGATGATTTTTTTCTCGAAGTAAAGAAAAGGGTGAACTTTAATGTTTATTTACAGGACATTGCATGATACGAAATTCCATATAGAAAGAAGAAACCCATTCAGAGGACAATTGAACAGATTGCGTACCTCATTCATTGTGGCATAATAGATGACATTTTTTTTTTATAAAGAAAAACTTCCCTACAGACACTACTGGTAGTACAACTGTTTTGAAAGTGTGAAATGTCCTCCATAAAATAACAGTAACTGAAACGTTATTAATTGCTAACACAAAGGGCCAGAACAGGCTGGGCATGGTGGCTCACACCTGTAATCCCAACACTATGAGAGGCCAACGGGGGAGATCATGAGGTCAGGAGTTTGAGACCATCCTGGCCAACATGGTGAAACCCCATCTCTACA